ACGCTGCGCCTTGGTCCACTCACTTAGTAGACGCACGTGACAGAAAAACCCACCAAAAAAGGACCAAGCAGCGTGTCCAGGAGCAAGGAGACTGGACATGGGAGGAAGCGCCGGGTAAGGAGATAGAGAGGCTGGCGATGGCCCAGGTGGGCAAATCGTGGTCCTGGGAGGACATGCTCGGGGGCAAGGGACCTTGGGGTAGGATCAAGGCCCTGGCGAGAGAGGAGCAACGGCGTCAGCAGGGCCATCGTCGGAAGGACGAGAGGCAACCCCAAGAAATTTTTTTGGGGGGGCACATGGCTTGGGCGGCTGGGCAGCAGGAGGCTGCCACAGGGCAATTTGGAGAGGAGGCCACCGGGTTTTGGGGGCCAGAAGGCAGGTTGGCGAGGCCGGGATGGAGAGCGGAACCAACTTCCCGTACTCAGGCATGGCAGCATGGGACGGGGCAGGTTCCGCGGTATGCGGAGCAGCGTACGGTGCCACGAGTGGTCCGGCACAGTCCTGTACGTTCTGTGCGAGCACCCCGCACGTGTCGTGCGAAGGGGGGTATGCAGCCAGGACGGAGTGTGCCGGCTCAACGCTCGTGGTCTCCTGTGCCTCTCCGCGGTCCCGGATATCCTGCTCCAGTATCACGTGCTGTCATGTCGGTACGGGTACACAGCCCTGTACGTCCTGTGCGGATGCCTCACACAGAGTGTGTGAAGGTAGGCATTCAGCCGGGACGGGTTGTGGCCGCTCTTCATTCCAGGTCTCCTATCCGTCTCCACAGTCCGGTGAGGCCTGTCCCTGCTCCACGCACTAAGTTAATGGTGCGCGTCGCCAGCCCAGCCCGGCCTATCCCTGCTCCACGCACCAAGCCTACGGGGTGCGTTGCCAGCCCAGCCCGGCCTATTCCTGCTCCACGCACCAAGCCTACGGGGTGCGTTGCCAGCCCGGCCTATCCCTGCTCCACGCACCAAGCCTACGGGGTGCGTTGCCAGCCCAGCCCGGCCTATCCCTGCTCCATGCACCAAGCCTACGGGGTGCGTTGCCAGCCCACCCGGCCTGTCACTGCTCTACGCACAAAGCCTACGGTGTGCGTCGCCAGCCCAGCCCGGCCTGTTCCTGCTCTACGCACAAAGCCTACGGTGTGCGTTGCCAGCCCAGCCCGGCCTGTCCCTGCTCTACGCACAAAGCCTACGGTGTGCGTCGCCAGCCCAGCCCGGCCTGTTCCTGCTCCACGCACAAGGCCTACGGTGTGCGTCGCCAGCCCAGCCCGGCCTGTTCCTGCTCCACGCACAGAGCCTACGGTGTGCGTCGCCAGCCCAGCCCGGCCTGTTCCTGCTACTCGCACCAAGCCAAGGGTGCGAGTCGTCAGCCTGGTCCAGCCTGTTCCTGCTCCACGCACAGAGCCTACGGTGTGCGTCGCCAGCCCAGCCCGGCCTGTTCCTGCTACTCGCACCAAGCCAAGGGTGCGAGTCGTCAGCCTGGTCCAGCCTGTTCCTGCTACTCGCACCAAGACAAGGGTGCGAGTCGTCAGCCTGGTCCAGCCCGTTCCTGCTACTCGCACCAAGCCAAGGGTGCGAGTCGTCAGCCTGGTTCAGCCCGTTCCTGCTACTCGCACCAAGCCAGGGGTACGAGTCGTCGGCCTGGTCCAGCCCGTTCCTGCTACTCGCACCAAGCCAAGGGTGCGAGTCGTCAGCCTGGTTCAGCTCGTCCCTGCTACTCGCACCAAGCCAAGGGTGCGAGCCGTCAGCCTGATCCAGCCCATTCCTGCTACTCGCACCAAGCCAGGGATGCGAGTCGTCAGCCTGGTGAGGCCCGTTCCGAATCCACGCATCAAGCCTAGGGTGCGTATCGTCGGCCAGGTCCGGTCCGTTCCTGCCTCACGCGCCAAGCCAGGGGTGCGCGTCGTCAGTCCAGATCCTACCAGCTGGGTCAGATCGGACCGGGGGCGCTACGGGGGGATTGAAGAAGGGTGGTGGTCAAGCCCGGAGCCGGAGCCGCCTCCGAGGAGTAATGCCCACCCAGCCCTCCCCTGTTTGGGGTTTTTGAGGGGGGGTACTGTCACGCTCTGGCTCCGGGACTTTGTATGTTGAGCCAGGGTGTGTTCGTTTCGTTGTGTTCTGTTTGGTTGGGTTGTCTATGTGGTTGTTTTTCCTTGTTTGTATTGAGTGACTCCCAATCAGAGGTAACGAGTGTCAGCTGTTGGCTCGTTAGCTCTGATTGGGAGCCATATTTAAACTGTGTGTTTTCACCTTGTGTTTGTGGGTTTTTGTTCCGTATCAGTCATTGTAACTGAGGACTTCACGATTCGTCATTGTTTGTATTGAGTACTTTAGTTAAATAAAGTCATGTTCGTATCGCACGCTGCGCCTTGGTCCACTCACTTAGTAGACGCACGTGACAACGTCAGCCTCAAAACCTTAATGACTTGGAGAAGATCTGCAAAGAGGAGTAGGACAAAATCCCTCCTGAGATGTATGCAAACCTTGTGGCCAACTACAAGAAACGTCTGACCTCTGTGATTGAAGTCAGGTCTGTGAGAGCCAAATCTTTGCGTTTTGTAGGTGACGCAAATTACTTATTTGTAAAAAAAATCCTACAAATGTGATTTTCTGGATATTTTTTCCTTCCTCATATTTTCTGTCATAGTTGGACGTGTACCTATGGATGAAAATTAACAGGCCTCTCTCATCTTTTTAAGTGGGAGAAACTGCATAATTGGTGGGCTGACTAAAAAACTTTTTTCCCTCACTGTAGAGGGGATCAAAATACTTTTTTCCCCTCACTGTAGAGCCATGGCTACATTGAACTCTATTCCACATCAGGTAACTGATGCAAGCAGTAGAATCAGTAGAAAATACACCTTATGGAACAGCAGGGACTGTGAAGAGACACACACAGGCACAGACACACATACACATGATACGACACACACATACACATGGATGTTGTATTGTAAATATGTGATAGTGGAGTAGTGGCCTGAGGGAGCACACTAAATGTATTGGGTAAAGTGTCATGAAATGTAATGTCATGTAATTTTTCTAACTGTATATAACTGTCTTAATGTTTCTGGACCCCAGGAAGAATGGGGATCCTTAATAAATACAAATACAAATATTGTCCTGCTGAAAGGTGAATTTGTCTTCCTGTGTCTAGTAGAAGATGACTGAAGCAGGTTTTCCTCTAGGATTTTGTGTGTGCTTAGCTCCATCCCACTTCTTTTTATCCTGAAAAGCTCCCCAGTCTTTGCCGATGTCGAGCATACCCATACCACGATGCAACCACCACCATGCTTGAAAATAAGGAGGCAGTTGCTCAATGATGTGTTGGATTTGCCTCAAACATAAGGCTTTGCATTTAAGCCAAAAAGTTTCTTCCTTTGCCGTGTTTTCTTGCAGTTTAACTTTAGTGCCTTGTTGCATACAGGATGCATGTTTTGGAATATGTATTCTGTATATTTGTATACTTTTCACTCTGTCATTTAGATATGTATTGTGGAGTCACTACAATGTTGTTGATCCATCCTCAGTTTTCTCTCATCACAGCCATTGAACTCTGTAGCTGTTTTAAAATCACCAATGGCCTCATGGTAACATCCCTAGCAGTTTCCTTTCTGTCTTGCAGCTCAGTTCAGAAGGAAGACTGTATCTTTGTTGTGTCTGGGTGGTTTAATACATGATCCACAGCATAATTATTAACTTGACCATGCTTAAAGAGATATTCAATGTCTGATTTGTTATTGTTATCCATCTACCAATATTTATGAGGCTTTCGAAAATCTCCCTCGTCTTTGTAGTTTATTCTGTGCTTGAAATTCAATACTTGACTTAGGGACTTTACAGATGTTGAATGTATGGGGGACAGAGGAAGGGTTGGTCATTCAGAAATCATGTCAACCCCTATTATTTCCATGTAACTTATTATGTGATTTGTTAAGCCAAATTTTACTTCTGAACTAATTTTCCTAAACAAAGGGGGTGAATAGTTTTGCAACGACTATATTTTAGTTATTACATTTTCATTAATTTGTAAACTGTAGAATTTTCTTTTCACTTTGACATTATGGAGTATTTTGTTTAGATCAATGACAAAACAAATCACAATTAAATCCATTTCAATCCCACTTTGTAATGCCACACAATTAGAAAAGAAATCAAAGTGGGATGAATACTTATGATATCCACTGTAAGACTCACGTAGCAAATTAGCAATTCAATTTTGTTGTTGATCAAATTTGACACTCATTGAGCTCCATACAAAACTTCCTCACATCGTGGTCTTATTTTCGTCAACAGATTTTGGGTGGCGTAAACCCTCTTCCTGTTTAGTTTATCCCAGTGTTTAATCCAAGGTATGCCTTGCTTTAATCTGCTATATATTTATCCCAATTGCATTTAAAAGATTGTACTTTGTTATGTAGGTGCAGGTGTCAACAACAACATAATAATGTTAAACTTTATTCATTCTACATACATTCTTTTTTGGTGTACTTTGTGAAAATGAGGCTGATGAGAACTAATTGCTACACGCTATGGCTGCATTTACACAGGAAGCCCAATTATGATATTTTGCCATTGGTCTTTTTTTGCAATCAGTTAATTGGGCGAAATTCACCCTATGTAACTCAAAGTAATGTTTATAGAGTGAAAGATTAGTGTGCAAAGGACACTTTGGGGGGGTCGTCATCATACATGGCTTCTCATTCAACACTCGGTGAAGTAGCTAGAGGCAACCGTCATGACACATTCCTTCTCTAAGAGCAGCTTAAACCTATAAGGATCATTGAAACAATTTTAATAATTACATCAGAAAGCGTTTACATTTCCATGTTCAGTTACACCCCTAGAGGTGCTGGCAAAAATTCACTAAAGGACATCCTAAAGTGACATTCTATTAGAATTGTTCACACATTTAAACATTGAATGCCAACCAATTTCAATTCAATATGATGGAAATAAAATAGATTTATGTTTAAAATGTAAAACACACATTTTGCATTTGCGTACTTACATTCTCATTAGAGCCATTTTATGTTCATCAGGGCCACTTTCCCTGTTAAAATGAAAAAAGGACAATCTAAAAGTTAGTAAGAATTGCTGCACTTGCACACAGTATATTAACACAATAAGAAAATTGAGAAAAAACATCCACCTCAAAACCAAACACTTACACTGTCTGTTTGATCGTCTCCACACAGTCCAAGTCATCACTAATGTCATCGTCAATCAAAGCTTGAGAGAAAAAAAAGCACAACAGAGATACACCCCTGACACTGTCATACAAGCCATTTTAATAAAACCAAACTTGGTCAAGATCAACTCTAACATCCAACTACTCTATTAATGATCTTGTTGTGTATTTGTCATATGTCTTAAGCTTGCACCTTGAGCACGTTGAAGATACGTATTTAGTTTCGCTAGGTCTAATATATTGAACTCACCACTGCAGTTCATCTGGCAAAGGTTCAGAGACGGAGTGGAGCCGTTGGCACAGATCACATGATCGCTCAGCTGGAACAAGCCGTAAAGGGTCCACATGGTCTCTTCTTCGCTGGAGTCTTCTTTGCTGGAGTCTTCTTTGCTGGAGTCTTCTTTGCTGGAGTCTTCTTCGCTGGAGTCTGCTTTTGATGACCTGAACTGATGACTTTCAGCGCTGGATGAATCCCCGTGAGAATGCCCAGCGTGTCTCTTACCCCTCCTAGGAGGGTGCTTAGGGTGGGTAAGAAGGGTAGGACGAGTAGGGCGGTTAACATTCTTTGCAGGGCGAGTAGGGCAGTCATCAGGGCCGTCATCATCCCTCCAAGAAGTCACAAAACTGGTGTTGAAACCTGTGGCCTTCTCTACGTGGCAGACGACTGGAAGAGGCAATGACAATTGAGTGTTACTTTACAATCGGACTCCTAGGGGCCGATTTCCCATACACAGATTTAGCCTAGTCTTGGAACAAGAAGACATTTCAATTGAGAATCTCGAGTGAAAATGTTTCTTAGTCCAGGACTAGGCTTAATCTGTGTACCGTGAAACTAGCCCATAGTATTTAAGAAATTGTTCCGATTGTTGAATGAAAAAAATTGGTTAATGTAATTTACTTTTAGCCACAAAGTCCTCGTTTGTCAGGTTCCTCTCTCTGGCTTTCTCAGTCAGGTTGAATTTGAAGGCCGGCTCCTCCAATAAGCTCTTCAGCTCACATTTTGAGAGGATCCGTCCCTCAGACAGACTGGGAACCACCAAGACTGCTACAGCCAACACCACCAGCATCTGCATCTTCATGTTGTCTCTGTCTGGTCTTTACTCGATTGTGAGGGGAAGACGAGAGTTGCACAGTAGATATACTCTTGGCGTTCTAGCCCCTTGAGAGTGACCTGTGACTAAGACTCATTCTTGTCTTTTTTTTATTTTTAATCCAAGGTAAGGCAATAAAGCTGGCTCTCTGAAATGTGTCAAAGGACTACCTAAATGTACCACAGCTCCACCCAGTGTTGTGTTTCACCACTCGATTCAGGCCTCTATGAAAATTATTCAAAATGTTATATTCGATGGTATCACAAAGGGTTTTCCTTTGTTAAATATGTTACACTTTGATTCTCTGAGAAGGAAGTTAGTTGGGAATTAATTAGATCGACACACGATAACAATTCTCATGGGTATCTCATGACCACATGACTGGGAATTAAAGATTAGCGTCCACTCATTTTCATGTTCTGACGGATCACATGACACCAGCCCAAGAGTAATGCGAGACCCATGAATGCAAGGCATTTTTTATGCATTGTTTTCACGTGTACTGTTCATGTAAGGGATACTGTGTTTGCAGACAGATAACTTGTCTGGAATAAACAATAAAAGCTTACAAAGACAATAACATAACTACTAACATTCAAATTGAACTATGCGGGTGTACAAAAGATAATGGAAAGAAGTAGGACATGTTACAAATACAGCTCCAGCGAACAACAAAGGCAGCAAAATGGTATCTGTTGGTTTCAGCTTCCTTACTCCTGGTAGTTGCAGGAAAGGATATTGTCTATTGGTCCGTGCTAACCCATTGAAGTTGAAACGTAAAGTGGGTAGGGTGAGGGTTAGGTAAGGGTTATGGTTAAGGTTAGGGTTTAGGGTAGGGACGTCCCAAGGATCCCAGATAGCACTGACCGTTGTCTATTGAAGGCCTTTTTGTCAACTTTGTTCTAGCATCAGGCATACAGGGCTAACATCCTCCATAGCACTCCATCTAGGCGATGGACAGAATATATTTGCTAAGTGGAACTGAATGTAGAAGGTGGAAAATGCCCTGTTGAATGTTGGTTGCTCATTCACACTCAAAGTTCTCTGAGGAACGCGCTTTGGCAAATTTCCCTGGAAGGTGCAGAGCCTTCCTGTAATACACACCTAAAAATGATTATTGTTTTGTATTGATATGATCAAGTAGCTAGGTAGGATAGAAAGATGGGAAACTTTCATAGAAAAACAACTTTAACTTGCTTGACATGTCACATTTGAGTTTGTATACTAATCTAACACGTAAAAATTACATTACAAGTTTTTAAACAAATGTATTACATCACATACAATTTTACCTGCCTTTAATTACAAGTAAATAGCGATATTTAATATAAAGTGTTACCTCAAAGGAGATGATATGAGGACCAAATCACCCCAGTCACAAGTCTTCATAAAACAGGCGATGTCATCACATGCTTCGTAAACAACAGGTGTATACTAGCAGTGAAATGCTTACTTATGGGTCCTTTTCCAACAATGCAGAGTTAAAGATAAAATAAAAAAATTTTTAAATGGTGACACGTGGAATAAATACACAGTGAATAACAATATTGAGTCAAAATAACATGGCTATACACAGGGAGTACCAGTACTGAGTCGATGTGCTGGGGTACGAGGTAATTGAGGTAGGTATGTACATATAGGTAGGGATAAAGTGACTAGGCAACAGGATAGATAATAGACAGTAGCAGCAGCGTATGTGGTGAATGTTTGTCTGTGTGTGAATGTGTGGCGTCAGTATGCATTTGTGCACATGTTATGTGTGTGTGTGGGCGTATGTAGTGTGTGTGTCTGTGTGTGTGTGTGTTGGGGTGTCAGTGTAAGTATGTGTGAGTGTGTGGGTGGAGTCCAGCGTGTGTGCAAGAGAGTTAGTGCAAAAAATTGTCATTGCAGGTCCGGGAAGCCATTTGATTAGCTATTTAGCAGTATAGTTTAGCAGTCTTATGGCTTCGGGGTAGAAGCTGTTCAGGGTCCTGTTGGTTCCAGACTTGGTGCACTGGTATCACTTTCTGTGCGGTAGCAGAGAGAAAAATCTATGGCTTGGGTAGCTGGAGTCTGACAATTATTTGGGCCTTCCTCTGACATCGCCTGGTATAGAGGTCCTGGAGGCAGGGAGCTCGGCCTCAGTGATGTACTGGGCCGTACTCAATACCTTCTGTAGCGTTTTGCGGTCGGGTGCCTTGCAGTTGCCGTTCCAAGCGGTGATGCAACCAGTCAAGATGTTCTCAATGGTGCATCTGTATAACTTTTTGAGGATCTGAGGGCCCATGCCAATTCTTTTCAGCCTCCTGAGGGGGGAGAGACGCTGTCGTGCCCTCTTCACAACTGTGTGGGTGTGTGTGGACCATGTTAATTTCTTAGTGATGTGGACATTGAAGAACTTGAAGATCTCGACCCGCTCCACTACAGCCCAATCGATGTGGATGGGGGCGTGCAGTATCTGGAGCATCAGCAATTGTGGGTTCGATTACAGGCTCAAAATGGCCAGAAACAAATAACTTTCTTCTGAAACTCGTCAGTCTATTCTTGTTCTGAGAAATGAAGGCTAATCCATGCGAGAAATTGCCAATAAACTGAAGATCTCGTACAATGCTGTGTACTACTCCCTTCACAGAATAGCGCAAACTGGCTCTAACCAGAATAGAAAGAGGAGTGGGAGGCCACGGTACACAACTGAGCAAGAGGACAAATACATTAGAGTGTCTAGTTTGAGAAACAGGCGCCTCACAGGTCCTCAACTGGCAGTTTAATTAAATAGTACCCGCAAAACACCAGTCTTAACGTCAACAGTGAAGAGGCGACTCTGGGATTCTGACCTTCTAGGCAGAGTTGCAAAGAAAAAGCCATATCTCAGACTGCCCATCTTAATCTTTTCTTTTTATTGGCCAGTCTGAGATATGGCTTTTTCTTTGCAACTCTCCCTAGAAGGTCAGCATCTCGCATGGAATAGCCTTAATTTCTCAGAACAAGAATAGACTGACGTGTTTCAGAAGAAAGTTATTTGTTTCTGGCCATTTTGAGCCTGTAATCGAACCCACAATTGCTGATGCTCCAGATACTCAACTAGTCTAAAAAATGCCTGTTTTATTGCTTCTTTAATCAGCACAACAGTTTTCAGCTGTGCTAATATAATTGCAAAAGGGTTTTCTAATGATCAATTAGCCTTTTAAAATGATAAACTTGGATTAGCAAACACAACATGCCATTGGAACACAGGACTGATGGTTGCTGATAATGGGCCTCTGTACGCCTATGTAGATATTCCATTAAAGATCAGCCGTTTCCAGCTACAATAGCCATTTACAACATTAACAATGTCTACACTGTATTTCTGATCAATGTGATGTTATTTTAAATGGACAAAAAAATTGCATTTCTTTCGAAAACAAGGACATTTCTAAGTGAACCCAAACTTTTGAACGGTAGTGCAGGTATTTATTTTGTCCAGGTGGGTGAAGGCAGTATGGAGTGCAATAAAGATTGCGTCATCTTTGGATCTGTTGGGGCGGTATGCGAATTGGAGTGGATCCAGGGTGTCTGGGATGATGGTGTTGATGTGAACCATGACCAGCCATACAAAGCATTTCATGGCTCAGATGTGAGTGCTACGTCGCGATTGTCATTTAGGCAGGTTACCTTGGCGTTGGTATTGCAGACCGGGTCAGGGATAGGTTGAAAATGTCAGTGAAGACCAAGGTTATTATAGTTTTGTGATTTTATATTAGTTTAAATTTTTATTCGTTTTCGATTTTTATTTGAAATTCTGTTTAGTTTCAGTTCGTTTTCGATTTTGATTTGAAATTCAGTTTAGTTTCAGTTCGTTTTCAGATTTGATTTGCTATTTTGATTTAGTTTCACTTTTAGTTTTCATTTTAGGAACCAAAAGTAGCCTATGCTTGGGAGGCTAGGAGCCATTTATGTGTTTTAGGCCTATAGTTTGTGTTTTTGGGGGATTTCACTTCATGCCACTGGAGGACAGAAATAAGCTGATGGTCATAAGGTTTGGTTTGATTTAAATTATAAATACATTTTAGGCAGCGTTCCAGAGCTTAGACGTTGCTGACGCCTGAGAGATCTTACAATGCCTGGATAGGTATTTTAAGTGTCAGCTAACCACATCATATGTTATAGCAATTTGTCAGTTGATTACATTTAGCAGACGCTCTTATCCAGAGCGACTTACAGTTAGTGAGTGCATACATTTTTATTTATTTTTCATACTGGAATCGAACCCACAACCCTGGCGTTGCAAATGCCATGCTCTACCAACTGAGCTACATCCCTGCCGGCCATTCCCTCCCCTACCCTGGACGACGCTGGGCCAATTTTGCGCCGCCCCCCCATGGGTCTCCCGGTCGCGACAGAGCCTGGATTCGAACCAGGATCTCTAGTGGCACAGCTAGCACTGCGATGCAGTGCCTTAGACCACTGCGCCACACAGTCGATGACATGGCATGCAACCATTGGTTGTTGCGTCGCCTCACCTTAGTTGTGGGACATGCCCTATTTGTGACTTGGGGCGCATTCCTCTGCTCAGCCGTTGCTGACGCCTGACAGATCTTACAAAGCCTGGACAGATATTTTTCGTATCAGCTAACCACATCATATGTTATAGCAATCTGTCAGTCAATGACACGGTCGATGACGTGGCACGCAACCATTGGTTGCAACATCTGAGCAGGGGAATGCAACCATTGTCTGCTTATTGCCCCCACCCTGCAGAGGGGTTGCCCCAGACTGAATTCATCTCACTGGCAAATTTTTCTGGTCTGCTTATTGCCCCCGCCCCAACCAGAAAAAAATTGCCAGTGAGATGTTTTGCTTTGGGGCGCCCCCTCCATGCAAAAATATCTGCTTATCTTGCAGGGACGGATTTTGGGTGGAGGTAATCCTCTCGCTTCGCCTCTTCCTCTCTGGTAATAGCTAGTGATGGTGATGTACAAGCCAGGGCTATTTTAAACATTACCATCTACTGGCAGCCTTTAGCCGCC